CATTATAATTTATAAAGTATACTTTTCATAATTTGTCAACTTTCGCATATGTATTACTTTTTTTAACACATCAATACAATCACAATAAGTTCAATAATACTAAAAAAAAAAGCATATTTTTTCTCAAATCGACATAAGAAAATAATAAAAAAATAATACATTTTTCAAAATCCTTTTATGAACAAAAATTTTATGTTGTAGTATAGTTGACTCGATAATATAACAGATGAATGTATAAATTACGAATATATGAGAATTCTACATACACTTAAAAAAGACTTAAAATATATTTTCTAAAATTAGATAAAAATTATGTCGCAAAAGAGAGATAATAAGATATCATCATAAAGAAAAAAAGAAAAGAAAAGAGAGAAATAGAGCGTAATATTGTAAACTTTGATATCATATTTTCTTTAGTTGGGATACGGCTTTGATGTTATAATTTTAATAACGTTATGAGTTGAATTAAATTATGATTGGTTGAATTGTAAATTAATCATTATTTGTCTTTATTCTTTTAATTTTAATTTTCTTAATAGGGGATATGATTAAAATTATGAAAAATATTCCCATAATGTTTGTTAGATTATCTTATGCTAATTGTTTTGGGATGATGCCAGTTTATGGACTATTGGACAGACATGGATCTGCACATGATTGCAACAAAATATTTTTGTTATAATTTTCATTGAAAAATTCAAACGAAAATTGTAACGTTGAAATATTCGTTAGAATTGTTGTTGAAATTTCGATGTAATATGTTTTATTGGAAATTCATCATTTTCTTGTAGTAAAAGTATGACTCCAAATCAAACTAAAAAATTTGCACTATATATAATATTGTGTGCAGTTAATTGTTTTTAAAATTGTTGATTATGATACAAAATATAACATATTTAATGTAATTATCATTTAATTTAGGATAATTAGTAATTAAAAAAATACATATAAGTTGAAAAGTCCTTAAATATTTTATTAGTATTATAATAATTAAAGAAGAGGTCAGAATGATGTTCTACTGAAAATGTAATATTAATACTAAACAAGATGTAAAAATGATTTTCTACGTAATAAAAAAGGTAAAACTACACAACGATAAAGCTTATAACTGACATTCCAATCAAAAGTAAAAAAAAAAAATGATAAAAATAATATAATTATTTATATCGATGTAAAACAATATATATATATATATATATATAAATACCAATTCAAAATAATATATAGACCTAAAAGAATCTTATAAAATAATTATAGATCCATGTTAAATTAATTTTATTAATTATAAAATAACATTAAATAAACTTGTGGTATATTTTTCTGACATAGATTTGAAATATTCATACTAAGAAAAACGTCAACTAGATGTAATTGTACAACTATATATTACCAATATTAAATATGTGAATTAAAAGAAAAAAATAAATCGGTTGTATGTTAAACTATTATTCAATTATTGCTTGAAAGGGAACACCATAATGGTTGTAATATTTTTTGTGAATATAAACATGAATTAGTTACTTATTATTTTATCAGAACATGGAAATAAATTCAAACCTTTTAATATTATGAACAATATAAAACTATATTTTTATCAAGTATATTATCACTATCAAACACGTAAAAAGAACGCATTGCATATAAATGTTCTCTAATTCTTTCAACAAATAAAATATCATTTGTGAATAAAATAAAGAAAACAAGTAAACCAATAGTAATGCAATGAGGAAAAGAAAAATTCTGAATTTTATTAGAAAAATATGAATACTAATATCAAGAAACAAAAATCTTTTAAAATTACTACTTTTTTTGTTGTTAGCATTTAAGTATATGTTCCCTATAAGAAATTAGTTCTCATAAATAATGATTCGATATTATCATAAGATAGACCCCAAACTTTAATAATGACTAAAGATAACAAATGACTAAGAGTATTGACAAATACTTCTCAATATTGTCTCGTTGTTTTGTTTTATTTTGTTATTATTGAAGAATCAATAAAGGAACTTTATATATCTTGAATTTTTTAAGCATTAGTTATGATACAAAAGATTGGACAATAAATGCAATAAATATTATTAGGCACATAAATATTGCAAATCCGAAAGAATATGGAAGGTATCTATCTTTCAAATTAAGAAAACTGAAAAGAGAATGTTTGATTCTGATCAAAATATTTTTCAATGTTGAATAAGTTGTCACTTTTTGATAAGAATATTTACAATCATAACTGTGTATTGTGCTCGATCATACGCTCAATTGTTTTTCAGTGCATATTTTCATGTAATGTGTGATGATTTCAAAAAAATAATTTAGCATCTTCAGAGAACTACATGATTTCGGAAAATAAAATTTTATTTAGAGATGAAATTCGTTCCCACCTCATGGGGTAAGCCAATTTGTCTATGTGGAGAGAGAAAGAGAGAGAAATGTAGTAGTTTATACAGTGATTAAAGAAATATCAAGAATTTTAATGACACAAATATCAAGAAATTTAATGCTACAATTGTTTGTTTCACATAGATACTTATGAACTAATAGTAGAAATACCTTATAATGATCATACAATCATAAAGTTTGACTATATGTTTGGCTAATGTATTTCTAAATGTTGAATAAAACAAATATTTTGCCAAATTAATCAAGAAGAATTTTGCAATACTATTGATGTATTAGAATTCAACGAGTATGAATGTTTCTTATGAGAACATCAAAACCAAAATAAAAGAAAATGACTCTTGAATCTAACATAAATAAATAAAAAGAACTCATGCATATATAATATACATTATGTTATTATTTAGTCATTTATTGTTTTTTCATTAGGAACTCATTTTTCATATATTTTTGTGGGAGTTGTAATATAATATTTAAATATTTTTATATTACGACAACACTTTTTTATTTAAAATAAAATGCATGAAAAGTTGATTTATTCTATATTTTATTTTGTTCCTGCAATCATTAAATTTATCTTACTAAATTTAATCGGTAAGAAACATTCGTCGCCACGTGCATCGCACGTGCACTTTACTAGTAAAAAAAAAGGAAGAAGTTGCAGTTGCTAATTTAAACACGCGACATGGCATGAGAGAGAAGCTTTCTTGGGGAACTGAACATAACTAACATCAAGGTTGATTTATTTTACTTTATTTTATTTTATTTTGAAGGAATTGTGTTTTTGGAGGAAAATCAGATGTCTGGTCAAAAAAGTGAATGACTTGGATTTTGCTAGAGGGGTACAGGTTCGTAAATAGTATCTGCAGGTAAAATTTTGTTGCGAGTCCTATAAAGTGGCACCAAAATTAGTTTTTTTGTTAAAAAACTAATAGAATTTGGGATTATATTCCACCTAAATTGATTACACTACAGTTATTGAATTCTCATTGTAAATATGTAAAATTTTGTTTGATTCAATGATTTAAAAAACTCGATGATTGTAGATTGAAAAGAATCGATTTTGAAGGGATAAATTATGAAAATTGGATAACCTTTTATTAGTTCTTCATAAATAATTTACAAATCATGTACTCGCTACCTGTTTACAATTATAACGTAGTAATTAAGAAAACTTTTACTGTTAAAAAGCTTAATAGTTACGCGGATTTTGTTGTAAGTTTTAAAATTTAAAACATACTGATGTCAGTTGTTATACTTTTGTTCATACTAATTTATAAAATATGACAATTTAGTTTGAAATTGTATCTATTTGATTGAGAAAGTGTGAATACTACCTAACAACATCCTTACCAATGTTTTGTCTACTTAATTACACACATATAGAGCTGTAAATGAGTCGAATTGGTGAGGTCTAAAATTAACGAGCCGAATTCGAACCTTAATGAACTTTAACTATGCGAGCTTTAAACGAGCCAAAGCTCGTCTAATTTATCACGACTTAGCGATCCGAGAAAATCGAGTTCACGAGCGAGCAACTCGTTTCGTTTAACAATAAAATGAAATTAAAGGATTATACTGTTTCAAGTATAATTCAATCACAAGTAGTTGGGTGATAATATTTATTCCAATTTCCAAGCTCATGGGCAACACGTTTCGTTTAACAGCTCTAGTAAGGGTTTGATAAAATGAAACTAAAGGATAAAGAGATTTGAAGTGTGATTCAATCACAATAAGTTGGGTGATAATATTTATTTTCTCTATAAAACCTAAATGTTACAATATTACATTCAAAATGTTTTATCTGTCACTAATTATCAATAGGTACATGACTTAATTGTTAGAATCATAAAAACCATTACATTGACAAACTCAACTTTAAATCTGTAGAACTCTCAAGGAATAATCACTTAATCATTAGCCACTCATTCTCATGATGAATATTAACATCCGATATTATATTCCTCGTAATAAGTAGAAGACTTAAGAATAAAGTTTCAATATCATGGTTCATCAATGCCAATCAATTACTTCTATCTTCTGTATACTTCTACAAGAGCAAGATAATGTTCTTAATGAAAATTCTTATTTAAAAGGACCCTTCATTAATTATATATGTGGCTACACAAGCACAAATATATATAGCCAATCTTATTACATATACTAAACTAATAAGATCATTGTACTCATAAATAAAGACAACAAAGTAAAAGAAAATGGCAATTAGCAGATATATTATGTTTAGTATATCATTATATCATATGATATATCTTTCACAACATCCCTTGAAACAGATCTCATTTCTAATAACATGAAGAACAAAATCACTACGAGAAGATAAAAGAAAGAAAGAAAGAAANAAAGATTAAAGACAAAAACTAAAACACACACTCAGTTACCTAATAAACATTCTATGACAGCACGTACAAACACTAGCTCACACATCAGCCTACAAATGAAAGGTAATTTATGGGGAAAAAAAAAAAGGTAATTAAATTAAACACCATATCACCTTAGGGTTTTCCACACCTTCAATCCGTCAGCTTCCGACTGGAAAATCAAAACAAACCATCGCTCGTTTTCCCCTAATCGGAACCGCAAATTCACTGCAAGTGGTTGCTCGAGAGCTCGGCCCAGCTAGCTCCTGAGCCGAGATTCCACGCGTGCTCGTTCGCCTGAATCCCGCCCAATAATAACTCCCTCGACAGGCTCAAATTAGGGTTTTGCTCCTCCATTTTCACCGCGGCAAACGCATTAGCCCTCGATTCTCCAAGAAACCCTAATTCTCCACCGCCACCGACAAACGAAGTGTCGAGAGACCCTAGAAACGGGAACTGCTGGAGCCTCCACGGCTCAATCGACCCCATCAAGCTCGTCGGGCCCTGAAAGCCCGCGAACCCGTTCGGGCCCAATTCAAGGCCCGATTCCAACTGTCCGGAAAGAGGGGCCGGGAACCGAAGGGGCGGCGGATGGAACTGCGCCGGCGTGAGGTTCAATAGGCTCCCGGAAAAGCCTGTCTGGCCGGGATTGGCCGCCGGAGAGTGGCGGCTGCCGCCACCGGAGGAGGAGGACTTGGAGGCTGCGGAGGAGGATTTGGTGCGTTTGTTGCGGCGGCAGCCGCCGCCGACGGGGACAGTGCGTAGGGCGCCGCCACGTGTCCAGTAGCGGCGGCAGGTCTTGCAGAAGTGGCGGGGCTGAGAGAGGCTGTAGTTGTTGAAGTAGCAGAATTTGGTGTTGGTGGAATCGCAGCGCGGGCACTTGAGGGCTGCCTCGGGAATTGGGATGTTAGCCAGACGGGCCCGTTCGGTCATGGAGCCGGGCCGGGTCGGCCCGGAACCAGAACCCGGGCCCGCCGGAGGAGGGGCCGGGGAAGGGTGTGGCGCGCTCCCGATTATTTGGTGGTTTATCTGTTGCTGCTGAAAATAATTATAATTTTACTTAGTATAAAGAACCAAGAAGAACCTCTTACGAAACAAGAAACTAGGAAATTATTTGAATTATGAATCAAGAAAAAAACCTCAAAACTAAAATTAAAAAAATAAATAAATAAAAAACAAAGCAAAAAACTAGGGAATGATTTGGTGGCAAGAAAAAATTATAAAAAAAAAAAGCAAGAAATTAGGGAATTGTTTGGTGGTTTATCTGCTGCTGCTTCAGCAATAATTGTAATTTTACTTGAGAGTAAAGAACAAAGAGAAACCTCAAACAAAAAACAAAATAACAAAGAAATAATTATAGTTTTACTTAAGAATAAAGAACCAAGAAAACCTCAAACAAAAAAAGTAACTAGGGAATTAATTGGAATATTTGTTGTTGCCCTTTTGATCAAATCCAAAATTCTATCATAAAACAAAAAAGGAAAATAAAAAAAAAAGGTACAAAGGATAAAGAAAACCCTAACCGGTTGCCAGTTGGAAGGATCGAAATAAGCTGGGACAGAAGAAAAAACCATGGCTGTTGATCTTATAATTCCTTCTCTTTTGTAAAGAATCGCATCAATGGAGTGTTTTAAGAGAGAGAGAGAGATGGAGGGGGTGAAGAGAGAGAGTGAGAGAACTGATAAAGGAAAGGAGAATGAGAATATAGAAGCTAAAAAAATAAAGCATACGGGACTCTAATAAAGGTTATGTGTGTATATATATAGTAGTAGTATAGTAAATAGTAATACAGGCATATTGGCACACAGTCATCATTGTGTTTGCAGAGAGAGACACACCATTCACTGTGTGTGTGGNTGTTTTATTGCTTTTTAGGGTTTCGAGAGAGGGCTGCTTAATTACTTCGCCTTTAAGGCTTTATAAGGCTTTCTTTTTGTTTTGTGGCGTTTGTAGCTCTATTTGCATGGAAGAAGAAATAAAGGAATTAGGTCTTATGTCACGTCTCTTACCAAGGTGAGACCAAATTTAAATGGAGATAGATACACTTTTTTTGTGTTTGAAATAAATACTTTTTGTTCTTATAGATTTTATATGCTGATTTCATTGTTTAAGGTATATATGATTATTAGATCATGTAAAACAAATTATGAGCTCAGATTGACTTGACTCGTTCAATCTCATTAATGATGAAGAACGTTAAGGCTTGAAAATATAAATTTGTATATAGTTCTTTTTAGCTCAGTTCGTTAGGACTTGAGTTCGACTCGTTATGGCTCGAGCTTGACTCGTTAATATTGATGAATGAGTAGCACGTGAACTCGACTTCGATTCGTTTCATTTAGTGACTCTAATTATATATAATTGTATACTTTAAACGAGTTGAGTTCGTCTTAAACTTGTTTATTTAATGAGCTGAGAGTTTGGTTTTTTAAAGCTCGAAAATATAAATTTTTATGCAATTTTCTATAGTTCGAGTTCGTTTACCGCCTTGACTCGATCTCAATCTCTAAATCCTAAATTACTAGAATTCAACTCAGCTAAATTATACCACGATATATTATTTAATTTTGGATCCAAAAGCGTATATACTTGCATTGAAAATTTTTAGATTGCTGTTAGTTTCATTATATCAATTGGTTGCCACATATTTTGTGAAGAGAAAAAAAATATTGGATGTGACAGGCACCACCACATTAGGATCACTTTTTTTTCCCAATGAATTGATAAAATAAACTATACTATATATTTGTTATTATTGTGTACCAAATTTTAATAATAGCATAAAAGGGGCTAAGGACCAGGCTTTGGAGATTGCTTTGGTGGAAATGAACAGAGTGTCCCGACCCGAATAAAACTTTTTCTGGTCTCTGATTTGTATTGGTTCCCACCTCTCTCTCACACATATATATTTGGGCTATTTATCCTTTGTAATAACTTAATTATACCATAATTTCAACATGTCTAACCGTTAAACGGATCAAATCTTTCGTATATTCTAACGTGAGACGGCCTAAATAATTGGTAGATTGGTTAACCTTTCGTTTTTTTATTTTATATATATTTAAAAGAGGACTCATGCTATGTATTACCAAATTGATTCACATATTATATTTCAAATCTCGAGTCTAAATGTTAAACGAATCAACTCTTCATAAATTCTAACTTGAGATGGTCTAATTGGTAGATGGATCAACCTTTCGTACTTTTATTTATTTATATATAAAAGAGGAGTCATACTACTTTATCAAATTGATTTACATATTGAATTACCGAAAGCAATTATGAAATTAAATTGTCCATTAATTGATTTTTTTATTATAATATTACCAAAATCTAACGGTTGAAATTTTGCTAAATACATAATTTGGTAAGATTATAGGTAAATCAATCTCAGGAAGTAAATAAACTCGTTTTTACTTGTGTGATTGATAAAAGGAAAAGTTTGGAAGAAACATGTATCTGGTCAAAGTGCATGCTGTGAAATGTAGCAGGTGTCTAAGTAAAAGCTGATGGAGATTATTACTTTCTCTCCATAATACATTTACCCTTTTTAATAATTTTACCATAATTAGAATTTTTTACCATTGAATCAACATATATGTATATATTGATTTAATGGGTAAAAAATACGCAATCAGTAGGGACGAATACTTCACCATGAGGATTATCGTACATGTCACTTAACTCAGAAAGCAGTAATGCTAAGGAGTCAACTGTTGGCTCCATTATGGAGCCAACAGTCAATAGGACAACTTCATGTGGGGCTGTCTCACATGGCTCTAATGTGGGACAGCCACACATGGAGCTGTCCCATTAGCTGTTGGCTCCGTTAACAGTTGGCTCCTTAACATTAATATAAATCTAACTAACACTACAAATTTCTGGATCAAAATGTTAGACGAGAAAATTTGAAAAGTAATACCATAATTATAACAAAACTGAAATTTTTAATATTATTTGTTGTAATTTCTTGTTCATCTCGTACTTTATGATTCAATCAAGTGTAGATGTGTAAACGAGTTGAGCAGAGTTCAAGCTATTAGAACGCGAATTCAAGTCGAGTCGATCTCAGCTCGTTTATCAATATTAACGAGTCGAGCTCAAGTTCTAATCGAACCTAGTTCACGAATGACTCGTTTTGCTTAACTCTGATCAACTGTAAATCTTCTGAATTTTGCCAACGATTAAGACAATACACTAAAAGTTTAGGGCAATGATGATGATTGAAGATACTTTTCTAGCCAAATTTGTGAATTTTCATGTTCATTTTGTGCCTTTGGGACACACTTTTAGTTTGGTCCTCCAAATTAGTTACGGAGCAAATAATGTATGACACGTTCAATAAAGTTGGCTCAAGTGTGGTCTTATATATATTTCAACCCACAGTTCAGTAGTTTTGCTTGGGTAGATCTATTGGGCTCGTTCAAATTGGAGGCCCATCAAATAAATTATTAAGATGTGCTTTTCAATGTAGAGCCTTTGATAAATTTTAAGTTAAATATACATGGCATGTTTGGTATTCATGTAAAAGATACTTAATTAGCTTATAGATTTTAAATAAATTTTGAACTTATTATATGATAGATTATGAGTGATAATTGAAAAAAAAAATTAATTGATATAACTACAACGTAAAAGCTACGTAGAAAAACTATAAGCTTCAGCTTTTTTTATAAACATAATATTGAATCAAAATTTATTTGAATATATAAACTCTAACGTAATCAATGATATAAGCAAAACACTCTTACAGAGTTTGATTTTTATTTTTTTTTTTTCAAAATGAAGTCCTATCGTATATTTAGCAATTGTTCGGTGTAGTATACACGTCCTACTTATGGATGCAAACTGGTCGAGACTTGTTCAAGCTCAACTTGACAAAAGAACACAAACGTTGAAGTTAAACCTAAAAAAAAATATGTTGGAACGTACAAGGCCTGGGAAACCTTGGTACGTCCAATGCTCTTAGGGCCCTCATTCGGACCCTTTCCCCCGACTTAGTTTTCTTGTCTGAAACTAAGTTGTATGGCACCAAGGCAGATCAAATACGCAATTTGTTACATTTTCATGGGAATTTTGTGGTTGATAGTATCGATAGGAGCGGAGGCTTAATGCTACTGTGGTCAGATAAGTGGGATGTCGAAATTAAATCTTATTCTTCGGGACATATTGATGCTATGGTGAAAGATACGAGGGGGAAGCGATGGAGGTTCACAGGGTTTTATGGGCATCCAAAACGGAATGAGAGACATCATACTTGGGATCTTTTACGACGACTACATTCATTGACTAATAGTCCGTGGATTTGCGGAGGCGATTTTAATGAAACTCTCACTCTTTCAGAACGTAAAAGAGGGTCCGCCTTCGGTCAAGGATCTTCTAGATCCTTCTGGAAACTTTGTTTGATTGTAATCTCTCGGGTTTTCGATTTCGGGGCAGCCAGTTCACGTGGAACAACAAGAGAGTTGGAAGCAATAATATTCAAGCTCGTCTGGACAGATTTTTGAAAGACCCGAGGTAGGCTGATTGGTATCTAGACGTGTGGGTCGAACATCTCCCATTTAAGTCCTCAGATCATCGTCGAATAGTTTTACACTTCGGGAAGGTCCACAAGTTTTCCAACCCCAGGGGTATCCGTCCATTAAAATTTGAACCATTTTGGATTCGGGAGGACAAATATCTCGAGGTGGTCTCTGACGAGTGGACTGCTAATGGGATTGACTGTTCTAATGGGAATAGGCCGTTTGACAAGGTTCGCAACAAACTTCTAAATTGTAAAAATGGCCTGATTAAGTGGAGTGATGGCTCTTTCAGGAACTGGAGAAGATAATTAAAATCAAAGGAGACTACTCTTCAGCAAGTTGTATGACTCCCAAAATTCAGAGCTTTGAATGAATGAAATTAAAATCCTCGAAAATGAAGTTCTACGACTTAACATGCGAGAGGAGATATTCTGGAAACAACGAGCCCGAGTCGACTGGCTGAAAGAGGGGGATAGCAACACTAGATTCTTTCACTCGAGAGCAAAGTCCCAGCATAAGAATAATCGTATCGATAATTTAAGGGTGGAACACAATAGATTGACTACAGACGAAGCAGAAATTCAACAGCACATCTTCAGCTTCTTCTCTAATCTGTTCACCTCCCGAAAACCATCATTGGAGGACATTGAAAATATAAAAAAATACTGTGCAGGGACGGATTTCCCCGGAGTTTAATTCAATGCTCGACGCTCCTTTCTCGAACGACGAGGTCGAAAATGCTTTGATGAGTATCGGTCCGTATAAGGCCCCGGGCATTGATGGGTTTCATGACATTTTCTTTCAAAAACATTGGCCTCTCATGAAAGATGACATTTTGGCTGCTTGTCTGAAAGTTTTAAATGAAGGTCAGTCTGTTCAGGAGGTGAATGAAACTGTTATCGTGCTTATCCCGAAAAAGAGTCGTCCAGAGCATATCGTTGACTTTCGGCCTATCAGCCTCTGTACTGTACTATATAAAACCATTTCTAAGTCCATTGCAAACAGATTGAAAAAAGTTTTGGGGCCGATTATGTAACGCCCCACTTTATTTTAAAGATTTATCGAATTTAATTAATAAAAATCAGAGTTAATTTTTCGCAAATCTCAATTTAATAAAACTTAGTGGGCGCTACTTATTTTACCAAAAACTTTTATTCGAAAATGCCAACACATCAGATAAAGACAGAATGCACGAATAATAAATCATAAACGAAACTAGCATTTATTAAGTTCCAAATCATAAAGATAATTCATAACTCCAAGTTCAAAACGACATAATCAAATTATCTCAACATGAGCTCCTTAAATGAGCGGAAGCAAATAATAAGCAATAAATAAAAACATGACCACCACCCGTCTTGTCTCGTCACCCGCCAGCTGCTTAACCTGCATCCGTGAAGAGCAGGTGAGAGTGAGTACAGTTAAATATCGTACTCACACTATGCATATGAATAACATATAAATGGTATGGTCGCAGCATGAACATAAACAATAAAATCATGTCACATCTCTAGTCACATCAATGACTCTAGTCTCATCAAAGACTCACTCATGTACATCTATGCTCATCAAAGATAAGCCATGTCATATCAATGAAACATGGGAGTGCGTGCCACATCAATGACACGGCCTTCTCATAGGTCTTAATGAGATTTACCTCACGGGTAACCGTATCTTATCATACGGGGACAACCGTACCGATGGCCATCAAACTCACATCGATAGGCTACATGTTCATTTTCATACATAGATCACACCAAACTTTCATCACAATTAAAATCACGCATATACATAGATAATTTTTGAATAACAACCCACCTGGTACCGAAATAGCAATTAAATACTCGAGAGTCGATAGGATGATAGCACGGCTCGTCAAATACCTACAATGGTTACGAGGTTCCTATCAAAGACTATCCAACACATAGATACACTCATATCAATATTTATATCAAAAACACTTAGGTCAATTCAGCCCATATAAGTCATATTAGCAAGCATAAAAAAGATAGATTTTATTTTCGAAAACACCACATAAATTTTCGAAACACAACCCGTGCAGCGATTTTGAAATCGACACCCAATGCAGCACACAATTCATATTGACACGAAACCAGTTGCATATGAATCCTAAGACATGCCTCTAAAATTCTTATGAAGACATCAGAAGAAATTAATGTCATTTGGCAGGCCTTAAAACATCAAACATATGAAACGGGGATGCTGTGAAAAATCTGGAAACATGTAATGGACAGAACCTCAGTATATTCAATATAAATGGAGCTATAGACATGCTATCAAGGAAATTCCAAAAATCAAAATGTAGCTAACTCAATTTTAAACAACTTTGCTGAAGACCATATTGTCAAATAAGGGCATTATCAACAATTTTAAGCACAATACATTTGGGTCATAGAATCTGTCGGAACTTGGTTCAGTTTACAAACAGCACTTCGGTAGTTATAGTCTAAATCATTATATAGACCTCCAATTGATCAGATTTTGAAACCCTTGGATAGAATAGAAGCATACCAACAATGTTCATGAAGATCACTTCCACATTTGAGCATGTTAGAACATCACTTTCAGACCAAACATCAATATCATATACTCAGCCCGATTTTTCAAAAACTGCTTGCATAACATTTTTTACAAAACTCACATCTCATGCTACACTCATCATATTGACATGCTTCTTACCTTGTTAGAAACCTAAGAGACAGTTCTACAACTTTCATTTAGAATGCTAAGGTAGATAAGGTCATTACAGAGGATAGAATCAACTAACATTTAGAACCACCTTGCTGTCTAAAAGTATCACTCACTACATGCTTATCCTATTTCTATCTAATACAAACCGAGCTACAGTAATCATATCAACATGAATTGTACCTCATCAAAAAGCTTGGAAAGAGGCCTATAACGTTCATTAAGACCATATTTCTATTTGAGCACATTAAAATGCAATAAACATGTAAAACATTCAACATAAACTTGCTGCCGGGTTTTGTTAAAAAAACTGCTCGCACTATATTTTTGTAAAAATCATATCTCTCTCATCTTAAATCGGATTTTCAAAATTCTAAAACTCACAGAACCACAACAGAATAATCTACATATCATATGAAGAACACAACTTCATAAGATGAGTATTTCATGCCCTTTGCAGCAACACAACAGAGGCAATATAAATCGAAATATAAGTCATTTACTACATGATCTCCCTTCAACATGGATATATCTTCATATAAACTAAAACTTAGCCACACTTTAACACACATAATAACACACCAACTAAGCTATTGGCATGTACAAAATATAGCCTTCTTACCTTGTTCAACTAAACAAGAAAATGAAAGGAAAAAGGGGATGCTCGGTTCTCTTGGCTTTGCTTGAACTTGTGGCGTAGCTTCGGCTTTTGCCTTTGAGGGTGGAGTTTAGAACGAAATTTGCTAAGTGTTTGCTGAAGGTATAATGTCTATTCTCAGCTAGAAAGTGAGACTTATAATATCTCTCATATGGTTACAAACAAGATGTAAGAAATGGTAGGAATTGGTGGTTGAACTTCCATACATGCACATGAGTTGTCTAGTTGACTTGGGGATAAAAACTTTTATCTGGAAGTTGTCTCTTTCCGCTATACCATCTAGCGAAAATTTGGCATGGAGACACATTAGTGTGGATGGTAGATGCCCCAGATGCGGAAGTCGTGAAACCAACTATCACCTTTTCTTTGAATGTAAGTGGGCAAAAATGTTGTGGAAATATGCCGGATGGTGGGATGAAGTCCATGGTTTTTGGAGGGGAGATTTTATCCAGTTATTTGTGGCCCTTTTGTCCGGGGCTCGGGGTGACGAACTCCGCAATTTTGTCATTGGCTTATGGCTCATTTGGTATGAACGAAATCGTTGTCTAAAAAGGCTCAAGGGAAGGGATGCGGAACAAGTGTGGGAATTCGGGTTGGCTTGGTTAAAAGAATTTGATTATGCTAGTTCGGGCTTCTTAACAAATGAGTTGCTTCCAACTCTTGATTCTATTTCCCTTTGGAGGGGACTTGGGAATTGCAAAAATAGGTGGACTCTCTGTTCGGATGCGGCAGTTCGGAATTCAGAGATCGGACTAGGTGGTTGGATTCGGGACTCCACTGGAGTTTGTATGGTTGCTTTTGCTACCCGGTTGATGGGTTCATTTTCTCCCCTTTTGGCGGAAGCTTTAGCTATTAGATACGGGCTACGTATAGTATCGGATTTGGGTCTCAATATTCAGACGGCTTTAACGGATTCTATGGGTGTCATCAGCAGGATTTCCTACAAATATGAGCTCGATCCATTGACCGGAATGTTCGATGATATTAGAGCACTTCTCATTTCCCTTAATTGTGGTCGTTGCTGTTATTTACCAAGAGAACAAAATGGGGTGACCCACAACTTAGCGAAATGGACAGTTGATTCGAAATCATCCTATATTTGGAGTGATTATCTCCCTATTTTTTTTTTCTTCTTTCTTTGATGTAGTACCTAACCCAATTATCATCTGATTGTATCGATTTGGTTTCNTTACTAAATTACAGGACGAACCTTGAATTCGTTTTAGACATTTTGAATTCAATAAAATAATGTAAAAGTTAAAGTTACACATGCCAAAATTGAAATTGAAAAAAAAAAACGTGTTTCACAAAATCAAAATTGTCCCTTATATTCACTTACAAAGTAAAAATAATTGACAATTAAGCCAAATAGTTGATATTTCCGTACTGAAATGAAATCAGCAGCAAATAAAAAAGAAAAAATGAAAATGAAAGAAGAAAACTAAAATACCGAAATTCATTTTATTTTATTTTATTTTTTTAAATCAAATCAAATCCGAAGCATCAGGCAAGCCCTGCCGCAAGTCCTCCTCCCCGCCGGCCGGCGGCGCCCTGACCCTCGGCCGTCTGACCGGTACGGCTGCCCGGCACACAGGGCAGCTCGAATGAGAGTACAGCCACATATCCACGCACGCTTCATGGAACGCGTGCCTGCACGCGCCCAGCAGACGAATCTCCTCCCCCTCCGCGAAAGCCGACAGGCACACCGGGCACTGGTCGTTGATCCCCGCCGCCTCCGCCGATGTCGCGGCGGCGCCTTCCTTCCGGAACCTGACGCCGCAGACGAGCTCCACCCTCTCCGGCGTCTTTCGTCCGGATGCCGGATCCGCGGCGGCGGCGGGGATCCGGCAGCACCGGACGGCGACGAACAGGGTGTAGGCCACCATCGGGACCGTGATGAGCGCCACCAGGCAGGCAACGGCGTTCGGGGTCGAGATCTCGTGGTGCGCCGCCGGGTAAGGCGGCGGGAAGGTGGAGTTACCGGCGGCGGTGAGATTGGTCATGGGCGAAGAGAGGATTTTTTAATTTTATGGTCCTGTGGAGGAATCTTTGCTTTTTTTCTTTTATTTATTTTTTCTATTATCTTTTATTCTTTTTGAGGGCAATACAAAACTAAGAAAGTTGTGTGGATTAAAATAGAATTACTCTATTATTGGATACATATAGGTCTAATTATCTGACAACATAGAAAAAAAAGGTTTACATTTTCAGATAAATATATAATAATAATAATTTCCTTAATTAGTTTAGTGTCCCTAATATATTTTAGGAAAATACTACAATCCCGTTATGAAACCATTTTGTTGAAATTTGTAACCTTTAAATCATCATGTAACCGTCGTGGATAGCTAACGATTACAAATTTCAACGAAATAATTTCGTAATGAAATTGTAGAATTTTCTTATATTTTAAAATAATTTTGTAAGTATGAATAAATAAATATTCAACTCCAGTCCGTATAATATAATTGGTGCAAGTACCCCCTTGAGTGCACGGCCCTATCTACAAATGAATGATTAGTCCCTAGGATGTGACGCGTGTGAGCCCACCGTTACAAAATGATAAAGAATTTATGAAAATTAAAATTAAAATATGGGGTTAAAAAGTACTCCTTTCTATTTTTAATAAATGTCGTTTTGATAAGTTACTTAATAATTAAATATATTTTTTTTTGCCAATAGTAACCCTCATTAATGAGGATAGAGATTGATGTTTTGAGAAAAGATAGAGAGTGAATATGAAAATACGTAGTGTATTTATTAGTTAAATGAGGGTAATGATGGAAAAATATGCACAAAATAGCCAAAACGACATTTATTTAACAAATGATCTATTAAGCTAGGATAACAAATTATAAAAATATGAGGGAATAAAAATTATTCCTAAACAAGTGGATTCCAAGTTGCCTATTGTCACTCTCATTTTTTTTTATTTTTTTATAACGAGGTTCCAGGCTTGTGCTTGACTAGTCCTCGAGGAAACAGCTCCCGGCCCTTCAGAAACTGCCTCCAATTAAACCGCGGTAGCCACACAATGGCTCTCAGGTACCCAATACCCTCAACTACCGCGTACAAGGAGTCGGTCCCCAAGTGATTGCTCGCTGGCCCTCCCAGCTCCAAGTTAGCCCCACCTATCCAGCCGCAGGGTCCCACCGAAGTGATTGCTTCATGTTGGCCCCCCCAACTTCATGCTGGCCCCACCTATCCAATCGTTGGTTCCCATCAGGTTTCAGTCTCCCACACTGCCGCTTGTAGTCCTCAGTATTAATTGTTCCACCATTGCGCTCCGAGGAGCTTAAACCCTTCATGTCAAGGATACCTCACTCTCCACCACTAGGCAAAGAGGTCATTGGCCACTCTCATTTATTGATATATGGAACATGCAGATAAATTATCCACATTTGTGGGTGTTCCAATTTTTTGGAGATCTTGAAAGGTGATATTTTATTAGGAATTTTAAGTGGATGATATTGGTTTTTGTAACAAAAAAAAAGGAAAATTATTTGAAAAAAAAAACATTTTATAAAAATTATAATAATTATTGATTGTTAACATAGTAAGTTATAAGAGTTATTTTATTAATTGTTAAAAATCTGTTAAATAATAAATAGTATTTTTATATAAATAAAATAATAATAAATAATGTTAGATTGTACAAATGAATGAACACATATAATGTAATTTTATACTATTTTGCTCATAATTAAATTATATAAGAATATGAGATTTAGAAATTATAAGCCTTGGCACACTAAAATAGGCCTTCTTGGAGCTATATAACTCTATCATAGGCCCAACCAGCCATTAACTTGTTTTGCTTTGGTCATTTATAGAATATACTTAATAATGTGTATTGCCTCCCTCTTTCTCCAATTTCTGAAAATTCTCATCATCAAAGACGATCCAAATCAGATTACATTGCGGCCCAATTTAGAAGTTTCCTTTAGTGGGCCGCGAACGGAGCCCAATGGAAAAGCACATGCCTAGCCAGTACCAATCAATATTCCCACTAAGTATGATATAAGATTGGGAGATTCTGTTTGAACCATTCCATCGAAATTTGTACCTGTTAAATCAATTATCCCCGACGGTTATATAATGATTTAACGGTTACTGTAAAAATTAACTATGATGAAACGCATGAATCTTAAACTATCCCCACACATCAACTATGATGTGTAGATGAAAACGCATGAATTTTTTTAAAAAACAAATAGTATCTGATAAATATGAGAATAATAAGCTGTATAAATTAAAGTAGCGAATAAATATCAATTACTGTACAAAAAATTTCAAATATCAATATATCAAAGCTACTGACTGCACCTAAAACTTTATTATGATCTTACAAGAAATAGAAAATTAAAAATAAAAACATATATTGTTTTGATAAACGAATTTGTCCAGTGTAATGTCGAAATAACCAAATTGTAATTAACTTTGACTAAGCAAAAAGGGTATGAGGAATGAGATTATGAGAGTGGATTTTGGATTAAATTAGGCTAAATAATGAAACACGTGATTTATTTTATAATAAATCACTCTAGTCCGAGATTAAGAAATAAATAAAGAAAGAAGGAAAAAGTTAAAGCTCACATCATTAACACCGCTTTTTCCATGGACAAAAGCGCTAGTTCACCAATCAGTATATGGCCAATATGAAAAGCCAGACTAAATTTCCAAAAAAATTAAAAATATAAAAATCTCAAAATGTCTTATTCTTATCTGAGACTCGGGAAAGAGAAAAGAGGACAGAAAGTCACAAATATCATAGCCTTTAAGAGGCGTGAACAACTTGAAAAACACTGCATACAAGTATACAACATAAATAATAATAATAATAATAATAACAACTTGAAAAACACTGCATACAACATAAATAATAATAACAATAATAATAATAATAATACAACTCAAACATATACACAAAGATATTATATGACATAATATAATAACTAGAATTAAGTGTATAAGACAAATGTACGTCTAAAAAGTATATATATATATATATATATTATATATTGATTTAAAATTTGAATGCCCACAAAATTAAGTTTTAGAGTTGTATATAAATATATCAAACTCTAGATACATATTAAATAAATAAATAAACGAAATAAGAAAAACTGAAAGTTATAAAAAGGTTCAGCCGGCGGCCAAAAGTGGGATTTGGGCTTTGGACCATAAATTTCATTGTGCCAAGTTTCAATCAAAATGTGGTTAAGCTTCCAATAATTAATCTATTGGTTAAGCTTCCAATAATTAATCTATTAGAATAATGATTCGAGCTCAAATACAATAATTACGTCTATTTTAATTTCTATGGGAGTAATAGTCTTCGAACGAATCTTTGTAGCTAAAAAATAAATATAAAAATATTTTAATAAAACAAAGTTTAAATAAAATTATTTATGATTTTGGTTTAGAGCTAGACTGATTAAAAGTTGGAAATACGAAGAAGAAAATTTGTTTACTGAGGCGGCTCACTATATAGAAACGCTATGAAGCCAACCACCAATGTTATGGTGCCACGTAGGCCCTGTGAAAAAATAATTAACTCCACATGGCCTACGTGGCACCATAATATTGGTGGTTGACTCCATAAAAGAGCCAATCATTGGCTCCATAACATTTCTCGCTCACTATATTTCCAGTGTTAGTTCAAATCAATTAGCATTAAGTCTTAGTTAATTAGTACAATAATGCAATTAATTATAATATCTTTATGTTATGATCAATGAATTATCACAATCTTTACTTAGTACAATAATACAATTAATTATAATATCTTTATGTTATGATCAACGAATTATCACAAAGTCTTAGTTTAGTGCAACTATACAATTCTAATATTTTGTGAGATGATAAAAATTCTCACCAACCCAAAAGATAGATTATATGTTGGTTCATATTGTACGTAGTCTACTTATATAAGTGCGTATACATGTATTTTATCCTGTATTGTTTGATTAAGTCGTGATGTTCTGGATTAAAATTTAAACTTTTTTAATTAACTTGACTATATATATATATATATATATATATATATATATGATCATGAAAAATGTAAAAGTTATTTGACATGATAGAATTCTAAATTCAAGTCATCACATGATTTCTCTAACTAATACATGCTATGAACACGTAACGCGATCTTATTATTTTAATACTATTAGATATAANAGTCTTAATAGAAATAAAGTTGTTAATATACTAATATAATTGCCACTTGAAATCCAATAATTACCTACATCAAAATAAAGTCAACACATAGCATTTTCCAATGGGCAAATAAAAGTAGGTAACTAAATTCACAATATTTTGATTATATCCCTATGTATTTTAGGTTGTTATTATCTATGATTTATTGGCTGAATTTACCACTAACACATTGTTTACAACAAAATCCTTCAACAAAAAATAAATATGCACTAAGGACAAGACAAATCAAAATTAAAGTTCCTTATTAATGTTTCTAAGGGTGCATCGGATATGAATTTGATTTGATTTTGATTGGTTTTTTTGTTAATCATAGTTGATTTTAAAAAATATTGTATGGTTGAGATTTTGAGTTTATATTAAAATTACATTTATATGAAATAATTAAAGTTAATTTGATGTAAAAATGAAGAGAGATGATGCGAAGTGATGGTTAGTTAAAACTATGTGAGTGAATGAATAATAGATTAAAGTTATTGCAATTTCTTAGAATGATTGATTGATACTATTTAATTATATTTATAATATTGAGAATAATAGTTTGGGTTAAAATTGAGTTAAAAAATAATTGAGCTACAAATAATTAGTTTTTTTGGATCAAGTCCATCTAAGCATACTGACTTACTCATGAGCTTGTTTATCGAGAGTTCGAGTTTGATTAACAACTCCTTTCATTAACAAGTCGATTATGCTCGAGAAATAAAATTTTCCTTAATTTTTTGATAATTAATTTTATTTATCTCGTTAAGACTCACATTCAATTGGCTAACTTTAATCAATTAGTCGAACTCGAACTTATTTATCGACTTAATTAGTTTTAAAGCTCCTTCGAATATCAAAAGTTCCAGATGGACTTGTCTCTTGTACAACACTATTCATGAGATTATCATCCACTTTTATTAACATTTGGTCCTCCTCAAATTCTACCTAAAAATCATTGGAAAATCACAAAATCCCCACAGCGATTTCTATTTATTTTGAAGAAGATACAAAGAAATACACCCTGTGCCCATGTTTAAATTAGGCCCAAACGACGCTGTGTTTTTTTTTTCCCCAAAGCCCGGCGTTATTTGGTGCCGGCTTTTACTACACATTTTCATCTATAAATCAGTATCTCATCCCACCGCCAGCTTCTCTTCGTCTCATCTAAAAAAACCCAAGAAAACGCGTCTCTTGTTTTCATTTTCTTTAAAACAAAAAGGGAAAAGAAACAAGAAAAAGAAAAAAAAGAAAAAAAAAATCTTTTTTTACAATGTCTTGAGGATACAATTTGTTCGGAAATGGAGAGTGAGACTCTGTAGCTTGCACTAGTTTTTAGGGGGAAAAAATTGAGTCTTATTCTTCAAGGGTTTGTTGTTTAAAGGTGATTAATTAGTGAGAGAAGGGAAGATGAGGATTGTGAAGACAAGTGATTCTTCAAAGGGCTCAAGCTTATTTGGATTCTTGGTTGTTGAAGCTTATCCCAAAAGGTACTCCTCCAAGATCCCATCTGATTTGGTCCTGTTCTTGGGCCTTGGTTTCATAGATTGGTAAAAAAAAGCATACATCTTTCCTTAGAGAATAATATTGACATTAAGTTTTTTTGCCTCACAAATTTTTAGAATCCAAGGGAAATGTTCTGTATATCGTTTTAGAACACAATATACTGATTTGATGGGTCTGATTCAGTTTCTCCCACCTGTGTTTGGAGGGTTTGTGGAGATTCTTGGTTTAGGTTTGGTTGTGGTTTTTATCTAGCTTTTGAGTTTTAGCCCCTTTTGATTTAGCTGAGGTTTTAGATCTTGTGGGGTTTTCTCTTATTTCTTGTTTCTTTTTAGAAAGAAAAAAAAAAATTATTTCGGTATATGGATTTCGTCGACTTGGGTATCGAGGATTCGGCTTAACCGAAGCACTATACTGGAAAAAAAAAATAAAAGAAAAATTGATCTTTTGAGTTTAGACAATGAACAAGTTTAGAGCTTTGATGGAGGTAGGAGTTTGCAGCTGGGACTGACTGACTGAACTCTGATAGCATTGCTTATACACACATTACTATGCTTTTTCCAAGTTCAATTAATTAGCCACACCAAATCCAAAACAACCCTCAACAAATAAAAAAAGGGTCACTCTCTAAAAAAATGGGAGGCACTCTTCTCACAGCTCTATCAATGGAAAATCACCATCCTTCCACCATTCTATCCATGGACTCGAGCGCCTCATCCTCACACGACGAGCTCGACCTCGAAATGAATCGCCAGGTCATCCCGACCCGCCCGCCCGATATCAACTTACCCCTCTCTGCCGAGCGAAGCCCCCCGCCACCTCAGCATTGGAATGGCGATCACTGTGATATTCTCGATGTCGGACTAAGCACTCAAGTATACGAGCCCGAGAGCTTTCTTGCTGCTGTCCCAAAAACGGGTCGTAAGTGTGCTAAACGGGTCGACTCCATATGGGGCGCCTGGTTTTTCTTCAGCTTTTACTTCAAGCCTGTAATGAACGAGAAATCGAAGGCTAAAATAATCCAGGATGGCAACGGGGTCTCGGGTTTCGAAAAATCCGATCTTCAGCTCGACACTTTCTTGGTTCAGCATGATATGGAGAATATGTACATGTGGGTTTTTAAGGAGAGGCCTGAAAATGCCCTCGGGAAAATGCAGCTGAGGAGTTACATGAACGGGCATTCGCGTCAAGGGGAAAGGCCTTTCCCTTTCAGTGTCGATAAGGGATTTGTTCGTTCGCACAGAATGCAGAGGAAGCACTACAGAGGACTTTCGAATCCTCAGTGTGTGCATGGGATCGAAGTTGTGCCGAACCCGAATCTTACGGTTCTTGATGAGGACGATCGAAAGAGATGGACAGAGTTAACGGGCCGTGAATTGAATTTCACTATTGCAGCCGAAGCTAGTGATTACGGCACGTGGAGAAATTTGCCGAACACTGAGTTCGAACTCGAGAGGCCTCCTTCTGTAAAGGGCATTAATAATAATAATAATAATAGTAGTAATAATAATAATGGCCACTCGAAAAAACTTCTAAACGGGTCTGTGCTAAATCTCTCGACTCAGCTTCCCAACAGTCACATTAATGGGGATAATGTTGTGATGGATTTATCATCATCATCTCCTGTTGGGAATAACAAAAGAAAGAAAGATTTTTTCTCAAACAGTAATGATGCAGAGTGTTGTTATCTATCGGTCAACGGTCAAGATCACCAAATCCCGGATTTGGAGGCTGTGGGCCCCCATGAGCCAAACTGGCTTAACGAATTTAACGGGGTTTTGAGAAATGTGTATGGGCCCGTCACAGCTGCTAAGACGATCTACGAGGATGAAGAGGGTTATTTGATCGTTATCAGTCTGCCGTTTGTCGATCTTCAAAAAGTTAAGGTTTCTTGGCGGAACAGTCTCACGCATGGGATTATTAAGGTTTGCTGCACGAGTACATCTCGTGCTCCGTTTATTAAAAGGCATAAAAGGACTTTTAAGCTCACTGATGGCTCGTCTGAGCACTGCCCACCTGGAGATTTTGTTAGGGAAATCCCACTTTCGACTCGAATACCCGAAGATGCGAATATCGAAGCTTATTATGATGGGGCAGGATCAGTGCTCGAGATATTGGTGCCTAAATTGAGGGAAGGTTTGGAAGAAGAACATGAGGTTCGAGTTTGTTTACGTTCGCATCATGGGGGTAATGATCTCATGCTGACTTGAAAAAAAAAAAAAAGCTTTACTTGGTGAATAAATATGGTGAGGATGATACAT